ATTTACTCACAGAAGAGCTACAGTCAATAGTAAACTATCACAATTATGTCTCATAGCAAATATCAATCTTATCGCTTATGTTTTGCCAGAGGTTACATATCAAGGCTTTAAAGGAAAAGCAAAATTATAATCAAGATTAGCTCTTTGGGGTGGAAAATCTGAATGCTTCCTCCAGAAATAATAGGTAAAGTGATCATATGCCCTGGTTTGCTGGGTCAGTTCCGCTTTATGCTTCTCCCGGCCTAAGAGTCAATAGCTGCTTCCTTCCTTCTTTTTTTTTTTTTTTTTTTTTTTTGCTCCCTCACATTCTTAAGACATTCTCTCACTCTAGAAAGTAACTGAAATATTAATTCTAGAACAAATATTTTGAGCCAACATATTCTACATATTTGTTGTGATCAATACAGTACAGGTGTCCAGCAGAGCCATTTTTCTATCATGTCAACAGGGCTGACAGTGACTAGTTTGGCAGGGCCCCTAAATAGCATTCATGACTGGGGCGGGATGCAGCTGGATGCACGAGGAACTCAGTCCAGTCACACAGTACATATCCCCTGACACCTATCACTCTGGGTTCTTGTTCCCATTCAGAACAGAACCAGTGAATGGGGTACTTGTCATTTGGGTGGGTTTGAAAGTCAATGGACAAGATTCTCTAAATATGGAAGGTACTCCTACTGATTCTTTAGATCCTTAGATTTTCCTAAATATTTCAAAGCTAGGCGGTAGATAGTTCCTTGGAAAAATCTAGTTAACTTTCTGTTGTGATATGTGATCGCAAAATAGGTGAATATGAAAGAATCACTGTATTTCAAGTTTGCAGTTATTGATGTTTTGTGGACTATTTAAAATATAATAAGATTTTTAAAAATTATATAGAGCCATTAGAAAAAGTTGTACGATATAAATCTCACATGTTCTCAGATTTATAGTTATAGTTCTTTTTTATGGGTAACTTTTTTTTTTTTTTTACATCTTCAAAAGAAACCTTAATAATGCATTAAAAAAAAAAAACAACAACCAACCAGTGTCACTACCAAGCCTTTGGATGATTAACTACCCTATGATACTTCTTTCCTCCAAGCTGGTTTATAAAGGAAAGCAAAAACGACAATAAAAGAAATGTACCAATTTATTCTCTACTAATAAAGTATTGAACATTAGTGAAAAAAGTATGAAGTATTGGAATGCAACACAGAGCAATTCCATTACCCATTGCAGTTTTGGGTCATATACTGTATATAAAGAGTAATTACTTCATTGGTTGGGGACCACAGTGGAGGAATATAGGATTTGATGAAAGAGATTTTAAAATAAAAATTTTATCCCAAAGCATTTGCTTTTCAAAACTTTGTCAACATTACAGGCCATCTTATTTTGGTTTTTGGTGTTTGGGGCTGAGGGGCTGGGTAGTGGTGTGGAAGTGCAAAAGAAATAGAAAATTAAGAGTGAGCAAATTTTTAAAACTCTTTAGCCAGTAATCATATGTCATCAGCACATAGATTTTAAAGTATCTACTAAAAGTAGTTTTTGTAGATGTCTTCAGTGACACATCTTACTAATGAAGCTCCTGTATTTAATATTCACACACTCCCTTATTGACATTACATCTGGTGGTTTCTGACACACCTTTCACTTCCTACTGTTGAGTCAAGTTTCCGGATTTTATTATCTTGCTGATCGTGGTGTCTACGGTGTAAGTTTCTAAATGTTTTCAAGTCTTTTGTTCTTATTTATCACACAGGGATTCTGGGTAGGGACGGAAAGCTTCCTGGGTAGGATGGTAAGGTAACGTGGTATATTATGGAGAGACTAGACCTCGAGCTGGCCTGTCATAGTCCTAATCTAAGCTGTCACTTTTCTCAGATTCTTCGTTTCTTCTTCTGTAGAGTCCTGAAAAATAACTACATTGTAGGATGGTTGTGAAGACCAAATGAGCCATGTGAAAAGCATGTTAAAATGCTTAATGAGTGTCTGTTTATATTCTGCTGCTTTCTAAAAATAATTTTAAATAGGTACAAAAATCCAAAAAATACAAATATCAAGAAAGAAATAGATAAACCACCTAATATGATCAACAATATCAATTCCTTTATTTCTTCTACTCAGGTTCCTTCAATAATGATATTGGAGAAAATCAGGGAAATAATCTGGTTACAAAAGTGAAATATGTTAGTTGCAAAGAATTATTAATATTATAGGAAGGTATGAAGAAGAAAATAAACTTCCATTACCTTTAATATTTTGACACATTTTCATTTTTTTTCTAGCCTACCCATTTCAAAAAAAAGTTAGGATTATACTCCATCTCACGTTTACCTCCCCCCCAGCCCCAGTTTATATTAGATCATAAGCATTTTTGCTGTCATTAATTATTCTCTTTAAGTAATATTTTGTAATTTCATAATAGTATATCAGTTGTATGTACCATAATTAATTCCACCCAACATGTCAGTGATTTTTTTTGTTATTATAAACGAAACTGCAGTGATAGTTTTTTTCATGTTTATTGAATATATTGGAAATCCCATCCCTTGATTTGTCATATTTGTTGCAAATTTTTTCCCATCACCCTTATAAATTAATGACAGTTTTTGACATCATAAGTTTTTTATTTTATGTAGCTCCTGCTATCAATTTTTTTTCCTTTGTGACTTCCTTCACTTTTCTCATGTTTAAAAAGTTATTTCCTATTCCAAGGTCACTAAATAACTTACCTATATTTTCTTCTGTTTTTATAATTCACCTTTAGCTTTTTGCTTTTTAATTAATCTAAAATGTATTTGGGGCTCTCTGTTTAAGGTAGGTCTGAGGTAGAATTGGGCTACCTCAAGTAGACTTGAGAGTCTATGTAGGTAGGATTTAACATAATTTTCTGCAAATAGTTAACACAAGTACCCAGTAACATACTACGTTCATCTGCATGGTGGATTTATGATGGTGCTTTATCATAAAACAATCTTTCAGTGTTCATCTTTCATATTTTAATTACTTAAATATCTGGTACAATAAATGCTTTCTCATTATTTCTGTTTTGCAAAAATTTCTTGGCTATAGCACTCAATTTATTTTTCCAAACAAATTTATCAAATTCTCCCCATTTCACTGCACTCCAAACACATTAGGATTTCCTTGAAAATGCATTAAACCTATACTTTCAACAGAAGAAAAGAATAGATTCTTTTAATAATCAGTGTTCCAGTGCAAAAACACCGTATCTCTATTTTCTTAATGTAGATTCTGTACATTTCTTATTAAGGTTATGCCTAAGCGATTATAGATTTTATTGCTATTGTGAAAAATTTTTCACATGATCATTTCAAACTGGTAAGACATTATTCTCAATGACTTTTGATTGTGTAACTAGCCTTCTTCGATTCCAGCTTGATTTATTCTGTATGCAGAAAAATATTTGTTAAGAGCACTTTCATAAGACATAAATGAATTTAGCCGATGCTTGAGAGAGAAAACACTGAAGGCCATGGAGATGATTCAAACAGACCAGCTTTGTAATTAGGAAACCACAGAAGGAGCCACTGGATATCCTTTTTTTTCCTAAAGTGTACAATTGCATGGGTGAAATTAATGCACTTTTTGTTTTATTGCTGGGGAGGGAAAAAAAGACAAGAAATTGATGCATTCATGTCTGTAATGACAAGTGAAGGGTGACTTTTGGAGACAGCGGGGATCCTGAGAGTATGTAATTGTTCTGTATGCTTTGAACCTTATGCTTCTCAAGTACCTCATCGTCTGACAGTCCAACTTGGTACAAGCTAGATGAATAATGTAGACAATTGTCTTCCATGGGAATTATATTTAAAATGAAGGCTCTAAGTAACCTCTACCTAAAGATCCTGTTTAAAACTGGCCTCCGTGTCTTCAGTCCCATTGTACCCTGTTTTTCTTGGACGCTGCACATACACCTGTCATTCACTTGCCCTCAGTTTCGAAGGTGGAGGGATGCCACGCCCAGCCATGTTCACAGTGCAAAGTGCTTTTGACTTTTCTGAAGTGAAAGGCAGTATGTAAATGTGCAACATGACGACATTATTATTCCAGCTTTCTGGCTGCTTTCAGCAAGCACTGACTGCCACATGAGGTCTCAAGTGTTCTGGCACAGTGTGGAAGTGTTCAAAAGAAGTTAAAGTAATGAAATTGGATCTACATTTCCATAGATCTTCAAGCTGGCATGGAGGAATGGAGTCATGGAATCAGGGTTGGATGGTCTCCACCAAACAGCCTAGGCAAGGGCCTGTGATGCCAGGCTACTAAGCAGAAATTTCAATCGTGAAAGGCCACCACTATTTCTTCCTCTGGGTCTAAAATTACAAAATGTGCACATTTCCCTCAGGCTCGCACCATTCTCTGGGTGCTTTATACTCCATCCCACCCACCCATTCCCTGGAGCACACCAGCTTTGCTTAAATCCAGGACAAGTTTTAAAATGAAGAACTAAGTACCAAGGGAGAAAAATGTTTAGAGCCCTAAAATAGCATATGCTATTGTATCAAGGATGTGACTGTTACACTTTAGAGGTGGGCCAGGCTTACCTTGTATCTGATCTTCCTAAGCTAACACTTAGGAAGTGTCTATTTAACGGACTTCAGTTGACCCCCCCCCCCCCCCCCGTTTTCATTGCTCACAGGTCTTCCAGATTTGGACATTCTGAGACCTGCCCTCTCTCCTACACCTTTGTATGCTTCCCCACCCCCCAACTCTGGCTAAATTAGTCTGTTCATCAGGGCAAGATCAACAGAATCTGAGTCTGGTGCTTTGCCACCACCTTTATATTGGCATAGGTCCATGATGCTGGGTGTCCTTCCTCCTCCATCTCCCTTTATATCTGGAAATTTTCATGGGTTCCAAGCATCCATTTATATATGTACAAAGATGAAGTTTATTTAAGTTTAAAAATGTGAGAGGGACAATTCAAAGAATTGAAGCGCTGAAGAATACCTTTACTCACACAGAATCTCTCTTTTTTCTTAATTGTATTTTAGGACAGTGAAAAAAAGGGATTTATAAATAAAATCTATGCCATCCAGGAGGTTTGTATCAGTGTCCAGAACATCCTAGATGAAGTGGCTTCCTTTGGCGAAAGGATAAAGAAGTGAGTGATACTGGCATGTGAGCCCTGGCCTTCTGTGGGACAGAGTGTCCATTTGTTTTTCAGAGGGTGAAATGAAATGCCACATTCTTTTTGGCAGGGGAGACTCCTTCTGGGTGATCTATTGCTCAGTTTCTTCATTATTTACTTTGTTTCTGCCAGTCTTTGGTTTTGTGAAAGTTCTGTCAATTTCCTTCCTGAAATTTAGAACATATTGGTTGGAAAGAAGTCCTACTTGTAGCTTTGAAGAAATAACACCGTCCTAAATTTTAGCACATTTTCAAGTGAAAGACTTTGTTCTTAAATGGAATATGAAATCGTGATAGGAAAAAAATAAACCAAGCTAGATGAGAATTTCAGGTAATCAAGACACATCTTCATTTTATTATTGGTTGACTTACACTGTCACTGAGGAACGCTAAAATTTTTTTTAAAAATCGTATTTTATGTAGCATCCTGCAAAAATATTTTCAAATTTATGTACTTAAATAGTTGAGATCATAGTTACAGATGAACTAAACTAATGCACTTTTAATAATTTAAAAAAAGGAATCCCTTTCCTAATTTAAAATATAGCTTCACTGAAAGCTAATGCAAATTAAGAAAACAAGAATATTCTTAAGAATATTCTTTTTTTTATTATGTTATGTTAATCACCATACATTACATCATTAGTTTTTGAAGTAGTGTTCCATGATTCATTGTTTGCATATAACACCCAGTGCTCCATGCAGTACGTGCCCTCTTTAATACCCATCACCAGGATAACCCATCCGCCCACCCCCCTCCCCTCTAGAATATTCTTAATATAAGAATATTATTATAGTCTTACATTATTTGTATTTTACTTGAAATAATTTTATTTACTAATGAACTTTTAAAAATAACTAATTCAATAAGGTGGATTCACAAGTATTGATGATCAGTTAAAAATATACTGAAGCCCTCATACTGCTAAAGTATGTGAAAATTTGCTACATAATGATTGCTAGGTCGTCTATTCAAGAAAGGGTGCTGTATATCCCGATAAGCCTACACCTTCCTAGTTTCATGTATCAATTCATTGTTTATTATTTATATTATTATTCACCAAAAGTGTTCCACAGATTTGAATCCTTGGGCATACACATTTGAAAGCAGTAAATTATTCGAACTAAAGGTGTGAGACATTTACCTAATGCTTTTCATGTTTCAGGGACTAATGCATTTTACTTTGTATAATTTTTTAATACATTTCCACATATGCATACATGCTGAGTTTCCATTTTTTTTTATATCAGAACAGCCTCCCTCTCACTCCAAATGTACAGCAGCCTTCAGTCTCAGACTTCTGAAGACTGATTCCTACATCTTTTTTCTTCTTCCTCTCCACGTTTTCCATTTCTAAGAATGTTCCTTTGTTCCACTAGAGCCAAGTGTTTAGTCCTAAACAGGGCATTTCCCTTTTGAGTGTTGTCCTTTCTCTGAGGTACACTGTGTGTTGATACCTGAGAGAAGTATCTCATTTATACCATAAGATGCTGGGTCAGCTCTGAGGTGGGGCAAATTTATGCCTGAGAGGAAGAAGCCTCTTTGTAACTCTGGATGGTAGGGGACCTCAGGTGCTTGGCCAGAAAACATCATTGCAGTTGAAGAATATGGCCAGGTCCTGGCTTTGGACCAGCCTTGGAAAAAACTGAGTTTTGTAGAACTTTCCACAGTTAAGAGACAGAGGCATACGTACAGGTTGAAGTACAGAAATATGCATAGGTTCCAGTGATTCTTACCGGAGCCATCTTTTCTGCACAATTTTTTGGGGGACTATTAAAATACAGAAAGTCCGCTGGGGTTGCATGAGATAAAATGCATCTATCCAGAAAGCAGATTCAGAACCAGTCATTAAGTACAAAGTGAAAAGCCTCTATAATTACATCTTGTTACTAAGTAATCATTCCAGAACTTTCTTGAATTGCATCTTTTTTGGGGGAAGATCATAGTCTAGATTTAGTTTTCATGATGCACTGTGGAAATAGAAAAGGGCAGTCTTTTTTTTCTGACATTAGCTACACTGATAAGGATTCCTTGCCATTTATCTTTCCAAGAGGAGAAAGAACACAGGGAGCCCTTCAGGGAGGCTGCCCAAAAAAAGGGTTTTCTGACTGAGGAGCCAGTGCCCTTGCACACTGAAGAGTGTTGATGGATGGCTCTGAGCGGATCTCCAGGAAAGCAAGCAGACAGACCCTCAGCCTTCTGTTCTCTTCACAAGTGTCAGGGAAGGAAGGAAGGCCTGATCCTTCCCCAGGTGACAGTTAAACAGGGCACTCACTCTGGCCAGGGGAGGAAAAAGACAAAGAGAAAAGCTAGTTCCCAAGAGTTACTGAAAACAAGACAATGAGACCGATCTAATTTTGGCTCTTTTACTCGGAAGAACAGTTTTAGAAAACACTGGACCTTAAGCAGACACAAAAGGCAAGCTATATGCCCACAGAGCTAAGGAGTCACTCCTAGGTGTTATGCTGAAGGGAAAGATAGGAAGAAAATCTTTTAATCCTCCTTTACTGGATCAAAAACGGCCCTGGACAAACCCCACCCCAGGTGCACATAACATACATAACCAGGAAATGAGAGAAAATTAAAAATACCCACATTTCTCCATGTCACCTATAATTTCATATTTTTTGGAGGTGTTTTGGGGGCCCTTGTCACTGTGGTAGGCTCCGAGAGTGGACTAGCTCTAAAAATGTCATTCTGATTCACATGTTATCATCACTACCAGTCCACCTCGATACAAGTTGTCCTCATTTTTAAAGGGGGAAGTTGAGGTATAGAAAGGTTGATTCCTCCAAAGTCCTATGGCAGAATCTAGGCTTTGAATGCAGATCACATACTTTCTTTGCTCTTTTCATTAAACTGTACTCAAGTGTCACTCAACAGTATGTGTTAGGTCCTTCATAGAAGCTGGTTGTTGAGGCAACTGGATGCCTGTAAACGGTGACATAGTTATATACGCAACACTGAAGACTCCATGCAACAGTTCGGTTTTATTATTTTGCCATGAGAGTCACTACAGAATTTCCACACAAAAACTCCTAAATTATTACAATCTTTCCATGTTCCATTTCCCTGATTTTCTACATCCTTTTTTTTTTTTTTACCTTCTCTCTCATTTTTTTTTCTTTTTGTCCCACTACATTCCTTCCCATTTTCTTAGTCCTTTTTTGCAACTTCCCCCACTTCTGTTCATTGATCCTGTTTTTGTTCTTTGTTCTGAGGTTATCTCACTGCCAGTGCGCAGTCTTGCAGCCTTCCCTGACCCCCGACATTATCCATCAACAACAGTGTGGGGATACTGCAGTGCCATCGGCCAGGCCCTGCTCTAACCCACTTCGCCAGCTTACACTCCATTTTCACAGTCTTTCCAGCACATTTACCATGTGTTCTCCTTTGCCAGAAATAACACAGGGAGAACAGTAGTCAATACTGACTTTCTTTCTTAATTATCTATGTATTTCTGGGAAGGGCAATGATGGCAGGTGAATTTTTACAAGGCTGACTACTCTGTTCCCCCTCCCTGACTTCTAGATCCATTGGAAACATAACTGAAGTGAAAAGGGAGTATCCCTCAAAGGAATTCTAAACTAGGGAGGATTTACACAACAGTGTAAGAGTTAAGTCTACAGACAGTTGCTGACATTTTATTTCCAGTGTCTGGAATCCACTGTGAGTTGACAGAAAAAAGAATGGTAGGCCTAGGGGCATTCTCCTCTATGAAAATTGGGAGAAAACAAGATTGGCTACTAGTTTTAGAGGTAGAAAAACACATTTAAAAAAAATTTTTTTTAACCACATAAGGAGGCCCCCAACTAGTGTAACTTCGGACCCTGAAGGCACTCAGGACCATCTGTAAGGGTTGATGGCAAGACTTGTTTGCGTGGGCCCTGCTTTCATGAAACTCAGCACATTGTGACCAACCTGTGTCCTCCGATAGGCTCACTACAATCGCCTTCTGTTCCACAGAGAAATGCAGTCTTACCCGATCCCTAGTCCAGAGGCTGAGTCAGAATCACATTTATTTGAACCTTTGTTTGAAAAAAGTATGAAGTGCTCAGATTGCTGATGTGTTAATTTCTCATTCAGTACTTTCAACTGGACTGTCCCATTCTTAAGCTGGCTGGCCATTGTAGCCCTCTGTGTGTTCACAGTCATCCTGTACTTCATTCCACTGAGATACATTGTCCTTGTCTGGGGTAAGTAAAGCCTTTTTTTTTTTTTTTTTTTTAACTGTCTTAGATACTAGGAACAAACTATTTCTAAGGGATGAGTTATACTGTCAGAAGTTCCCTGTATTTATGATCATGAAGCTACTCCATGATGAAAAGAGACAGGTCAGTTAAAAATCACAACAGTATAAAGATTTAGGTCTACCTACAAAATGCATTTTTCTTATCTGGCACCATAGGCTCCATCATCCTGTAAACATGTAGTTGTGCAGATTCTTCATATATCAGAGTGTAGCTTTGTCCAGATATCATTCTGATTTATTTTCACCACTTATACGTAAACAGAGGCATTTCGCTCCGTACGGTGCATTTAGGACAATATGCTTTTGTGCTGTGGTACTTTATCTTGTGGAAACGTCTGTAAACACGGGGCTATATATGGCCGCCTGTTTAAGAGGTCACCTTTAGGATGCAGGAAAGGGGTCCTTGGCCCTGACAGACTGCTTAGGAATAAGAAACCAGCTTTATGTGTACTAAACAAAAGTGCTTCTGCAAAAACCCACTTTAAAGGTGATTTTTCCAGTCCTTGTTTTTGATGCCGTTATGCTGCATGCCAACAGTTCCTACGGCCCTAGACTCCACTTAGATGATAGTTTCAGCATTCTTCATTGTTTTAGAGTTTCTATTCCTAAGCTGAGAGAATTCGTGCTCTGAAAAGAACGGTCAGTCTCTACGATGGACTCCCATATAAAACTACCTAATGATATATAGAAACAAGACTGGGGAGGAGTAGGATTCTCTACTTGCCCCCCCAGCCTAAACATACACAAAATGCCAAGAACCAAAATGGGTATGGATTCCAGAAAACACATGTTTACACTAAAAGCAGAAAGATCAAAAGGAATGTTTTGTTATTTTCTTTTTAAAGAAATGTTGGAATAAGTGACAGAGGGGTCTGAGGTCCCCACACCCTCCAGTGTTAAGATTCCTATCTCCCTGTTCTTGGTCTGTCTTGTCATATCCTGAGTTAAGCCCTCTTGCCCTTTATTGTCACTCTGCTTACCTTTACCTACACATGGGTAGGCAGGAGAGGACGGGGGGAATGATGATGATTTTTTCCCTTGTTATAATTTAAACCAGTTTCCAATAAGATAGTACTGGCACTACACCGGGAGAGAGGCCTTTCTTCCCTCTGTTCAAGCCCTCATCTTTCCTTCCTTCCTTTGATATATAAAACAGATGCTGTTTTCTTGAAGGAATTAGGGTAGGGCATGCGGTGTGGCAGTTTATTATCTCTAACCTTCCTAGGGTCAGATCTGCCATCTCGGTTGTGATAGGTGATGGACCTCTGGTTTTGTTTCCCCCGCTCTCAGAAACTGGAACCCATGGCGGACATCTGGCTCGGTAACCTGGGGTGGCCTCACTGGCTCTGTCTTAAACGTAATTCTTAGAGAATGTGTTTGGGCCTCTTGTTTCATCATATGAAATAAAAGAAGAACAGTATTTCTGTAGTGCTAGGTGACTGCTGAAATATTAACTGGAAATTTAAGACATGGGTCTCACATGGGGAGACGGACCAAAATCAAGAATACAAAGTAAGTTTATTCTGCCGAACTTCCTGAAGAAGAGCCAAGATGCTCTAAGTTATGGCCCAGTTTTTACGAGTTTGTTGATTTCATATAAAGCTGTTAATTTATTTTGTATATGTGAATATGCTTGGTCATTTATTAAGTGCAATATACATTTCGAAGAGTAGACTTATCCCAATGAAATTCTACCTTATATCACAGAATATATAGAATAGGTGCTTATAGTTTTATACATTGTTTTGACACTTCTATCTCATTAAAGTTTTTGTTTCTATAATAGCTCCAATTCCACCTAAGTTTACTCCTCAACCACCGTTCACTCTTCAGGTAGTATAGAGGATTAACTGTTGAATAATTTAGTATGGGTAGATACGGCTCATCTGTAATGGTTCTTGGCTGTTCTATTCCAAAAGTGATCCAAGTAAGTCAATCACAGCATCTTTTGCAAGCATTAAATTTAAATTTTGTGTAATTTGAAAGGAAAATTGCTTCCTAAAAATCTCAATGCCAGAGATGTAGAAACAGAAACATTCCCCCCACCCCATGGTGAGAACTTTTAGGATCTACTCTTTTAGCAACTTTCAGATATGCAGTGCAGTATGAACTATAGTCATCATGCTGTGCATGACCCCCCATCACTCATTCTGTAACTGAAAATGTGTAGCCCTTCACCCATTTCACCCATCCTCCCACCCCTGGCCTCTGGTAACTACCAATCTGGATCTATGAGCTTGGCGTATTATTATTTTTTTTTTTTACTGCCACACACAAGTAAGGTTTTATAGGGTGTTTGTCTTAGACTCGTTTCACTTAGCATAATGCTCTCAAGGCCCACCTGTGTTGTTGCAAATGGCAAGATTTCCTTGATTTTTATGGTTACTAGTCCACTCTGTATATATACACCCTATTTTCATTATCCACTCATGTGTCAGTGGACACTGAGGTTGTTTCCGTGTCTTGGCTGTTATAAACAGTGCCGCAATGAGCATGTGCCAGGTGGGTGTTATTTATATTTTGAGTTCGTGTTTTTGTTTTCTTTGGATAAATATCCAGAAGTGGAATTGCAGGAACATAGGGCAGTCCCATTTTTCTTTTTGTCAAGACTACCCGTTCTGTTTTTCATAGTGCACCAGGTTACACTTCCACCAACAGTGAATGAGGGTTTCCATTTCTCCACATGCTTGCCAACACTTGTTATTCCTTGTCTTTTTGATAATAGCCATTCTAACAGGTGTGAGGTGATATCTCAAGGTGTTTTTGATTTGCAGTTCCCTGATAATTAGTGATGTTGAGCATCTTTTCACATCCTAGTTGGTCATCTGTAGGTCTTATTTGGAGAAATGTCTATTCAGATCCTCTGCCTATTTTTTAAGTGGATTGTGTTTTTGTTTTTGCTATTGAGTTGTATTAGTTCTTTAAATATTTTGGATATTAGTACCATAGCAGAGATAAGATTTGCAAATATCTTCTCCCATTCAGTAGGTTGCTTTTTCATTTTATTGATGGTTTCCTTTGCTGTGCAGAAGCTTTTTAGTATGATGTAGTCTTGTTTATTTTTACTTTGTTTTGCTTTTTGGGGTCAAATCTGAAACATTGCCAAGACCGATGTCAAGGAGCTTACTGCCTTTATTTTCCTCTTGGAGTTTTATGGCTTCTGGTCTTATATTCAAATCTCTAATCCATTTTGAATTAATTTTTGTATATAAGATAGTAGTCCACTTTCATTCTTTTGCATGTGGTTATCCAGTCTACCATTTATGAGACTGTCCTTCCTCCATTGTCTATTCTTACTTTGTCATAAACTAATTGATTATATACGTGTGGGCTTTCTATTCTGTTGCATTGATCCATGTGTCTGTTTTTATGCCAATATCATACTGTGATATCAGGGAGTGTGTTGCCTCCAGCTTTGTGGTTCTTTCTTAAGATTGCTTGGCCTATTTGGGGTCTTTTGTGGTTCCAAACAAATTTTAGGTTTGTTTGTTCTACTTCTGTGAAAAATGCCATTGAAATTTTTGATAAGGATTTTATTGAATCTGTAGATTACTTTTGGGTAGTATGAACATTTTAACACTATTCTTCCTATCCATGAATATGGACTATTGTTCCATTTATGTGTGTTGTCTTCAATTTCTTTCATTAATGTCTTACAGTTTTCAGTGTACAGGTCTTTCACTTCCTCCATTAAATTTATTTGTAGGTATTTTATTCTTTTTGATGTGATTGTGAATGGGATTGTTCTTAATTTCTTTCTGATCATTCATTATTAGTGTATAGAAACCAAACAATTTGTTATTGATTTTGTATCCTTGGTTTGCAAATTGGCCCCCATACACAAAGTGTATAGACTGAAGAAAGAGGGAGACCATTTCAGACTGTTAGGTGGCAGATTTAATATACAGGGGAACTCACAAGGCTTGTCTTGGGTGGCTATAGGCAAGTAAATCTCCACCCCTGCCCACCAGAATCTTAAAAGTTTACATGGAGGAATTAACTGGGCTCAGTCCCATATACTGTTCAGATGGTCTTAATAACACCTTAATTTCAAGGCTACATCCTTGGAGCAGTTCCCACTGTGGGTACAGTGGGAGGAATGTACATTTCAAAAACCAAAGGGTGAGAAGCCTCAAACTGTCAGAATTCAGCAACCAGGTCAACCATAGGTCATATCCTCTCCTAGCCTCTCCATTACCTCTTCCCCCAAATCCTGCAGCTTCATTGAATTCACTTATTAGTTCCTTTTTTTTTTTTTTTTTTGGTGGCATCTTTAGAGTTTTCTATGTATAACATAATGTCATTTGCACATACTGCATTTTTTCTTTTCCAATTTGGGTGTTTTTATTTCTTTTTCTTGCCTGATTGCTCTGGCTAGGACTTCCAATACTCTGTTGAATAAAAATGGTGAGTGAACATTCTTGTCTTGTTCCTGAACTTATGTTAAACGCTTTTAGCTTTTCACCAGTATGATGTTAGCTATGGGTTGTCATATATGGCCTTTATTATATTGAGTTACGTTCCCTCTATATCCACTTTGTGGAGTTTTTATCACCAATGGATGTTGAAATTTTGTCAAATGCTTTTCTGCATCTATTGAGATGATCATCTGATTTTTATCCTTCATTTTCTTAACATGGTTTATCACACTGATTTGCAGATGTTGTACCATCCTTGCATCCCTGGAATAAATCCAAATTGTGGTGAATGAGATTTTTAATTGTTCAATGCAGTTTACTAATATTTTGTTGCAGATTTTTCATCTCTGTTCATCAGAGATATTGGCCTGTATTTCCTTTTTTGTGTGTGGTGTCCTTGTCTAGTTTTGGAAACAGAGAAATGCTCATAAAATGAGTTTGGAAATGTTCCCTCCTCTTCTAGTTTTTGGAAGAGTAAGAAAAACTGCTATTCTTTGAGTGTTTGGTAGAATTCACCAGTGAAGCTGTCTGGTCCTGTTTGTTGGGAGGTTTTTGATTACTGATTCAGCTGCTTTCCTAGTAATCAGTCTGAATAGAAATTTTCTATTTCTTCATGATTCAGTCTTAGAAGACTGTATGTACCTAGTAACTTACCCATTTCTTAGGTTTTTTTTTTTTAAGATTTTATATTTAATTATTTATTTCATTTATTTATTTGACAGAGAGACAGAAGAGCACAGAGGGAGAGGGAGAAGCAGGCTCTGCACTGAGCAGGGAGCCTGATGCGGGACTCGATCGCAGGACCCTGGGATCATGACCTGAGCTGAAGGCAGACGCTTATCCATCTGAGCCACCCAGGCGCCCCCATTTCTTAGGTTTCCATTTGTTGGAGTGTAATCATTTATACTAGTCTCTTAGGATCCTTTATACTTCTGTGGTTTCAGGTTTAACATATTCTCTTTCGGTTCTGATCTTATTTGAATCTTTTTTTCTTGGCAAGTCTAGCTAAAGGTTTGCCATTTTACTCATCTTTTCAAAGAATCAGCTCTGAACTTTATTATTCCCTTTCCTCTGTAACTTTTTTTTAATTGAGGTAGGCATTTATTGCTATAAACTTACCTCAGAGAACTGCTTTGGTTGTACCCCATACATTTTGGTATGTTGTATTTCTGTTTTCATTTTTCTCAAGGTATTCTTTTACTTCTTCATTGATGCATTGGTTTAGTAGCATGGTATTTAATCTCCCCATACTAGTAAATTTTCCAGTTTTCTTCTTGTAATTGATTTCTAGATTCCTTCCATTGTGGTTGAAAAAGATGCATGCTATGATTTCAGTCTTCTTTATTAAGACCTGTTTTGTGGCTTAACATATGAGCTGTCCTGGAGAATGTTCCATGTGCACTTGGGAAGAATGTATGTTCTCCTGCTTTTGGATGGAATGTTCTGTCAGTGTCTGTTAGGTCCATATGGTCTAACATGTCATTTAAGGCTGATGTTTCCTTATTGGTTTTCTGCCTGGATGATCTAGGTGGTGATGTGAGGTATTAAAGTACTCTAGTATATGGGGCGCCTGGGTGGCTCAGTTGGTTAAGCACCTGCCTTCGGCTCAGGTCATGATCCCAGGGTTCTGGGATCGAGCCCCGCATCGGGCTCCCTGCTCGGCAGGAAGCCTGCTTCTCCCTTTGCCACTCCCCCTGCTTGTGTTCCCTCTCTCTCTGTCTCTGTCAATTAAATAAATAAAATCTTTTAAAAAAAGTAAAAAAAATAAAGTACTCTAGTATTATACTGCTATTTCTCCCTTTATGTCTGTTAATATTTGCTTTATAAGTTCAGGTGCTCCTACGTTGGCTGTATAAATATTTTAGAATGCTATATCCTCTTGCTGGGTTGGCCCCTTTATCATTATGTAATACCCTTCTTAGTTTCTTATTACAGTTTTTGTTTTAAAGTATGTTTTTGTCCAATGTAAGCATAGCTACTCCAGCTTTCTTTTGGTTTTTGTTTGTATGGAGTGTTTTTCCATTCCTTCACTTTCAGTCTGTGTGTGTCTTTGCATCTGAAATGCATCTCTTCTAGGCAGCATATATATAGATGGGTCTGGTTTTTTTATGCATTCAGCCATTTGATACCTTTTGACTGGAGAATTTATCTTATTTACAGTTAAACTAATTATTGATCGGTATGTACCTATTGGCATTTTGTTAATGTTTCCTGTTTTGTAGTTCCTCTGTGTTCCTTTCTTCTTTTGCTCCTTTGTGATTTGATGACTTTCCTTGCCGGTATGATCTGACTGCTTTATTATCTTTTGTGTATCTAGTATAGGTTTTTGCCTTGCAGTTACCATGAGGCTTACATATTAGAACTTACAACAGTCCATTTAAGTTGGTAACAATGTAAGGTTGGATGCATTCTAAAGCTCTACATTTAACTCTGCTTTTGATGTTACATTTAACATCTTTTAATCTTGTGTATTCCTTAACTAATTATTGTAGTTCTATTTTGGGGGCTCCGCATGAGCATATAAGTTCCTTTCAAGGAGATGCCAGCGTGCTGCAGCGACAGCACAAAGATGGCACCCGGCAGCACACGTTTCCTCAGAGCACTTTCCTAAGCCTCTAGATGTATGCCAAACTTGAAGCCTGCCATGCAGGCCTGAAGCTCCAGGACAATGCAATAGGTCTCTCTCACAGATAGACTGTGGATGTGTTTTAGCCTGATGTCTGTGCAGGGCCCTGGGGGTGGTAGCCTGCCAAAAACTCTGTAACTGTTACAGTCCTGTGGGACCCAGAAATACAGGCCTCATGTCCACCAGAGCTAGGAGATCAAGGGAGTATTCCCTCAGTGGCAGCTGTAAAAACCAGGGCACGAGATATATGTAAAACCTCCTCTCTGAGAGAGACTGCTGCTCTGGAGCATGGCACAGAGCCCACTCTCCAAGGTTTCTGGAGAAGTTTACAGTCAGCCCTTACATGTGTGTTTAATTAGAAGCCTGCCCCTTAGGCAGTAACTAGGATGATAAGCTTAGGGGTCTGTGACAAAGACTGAGCATCTGAGTCTGTTACCTCTAGCTATGTCCTCAGGGTCGTAGATGTTTAAAAACTCTTGTTTTGTTACAGTCCTGTGGGACCTGTAAGCATAATCACATTGGCCACCAGAGCCAGGTGATACACAGGTGTCCCTCAGCAGCAGCTACAAAAGTCAGGGGTGTCAAACAAGGATAGAAGCTCCTTACTGGGAGATATTTATAAGCTATAGTGTGGCAGAGTGCAAAGACTGCATCTAGTGGACTGTTCCCTGAGAACTCTATAAACTCTTGTAAGTGTGCCAGACCAGAGGGTTGACCAGCTCTTCTATAAGCAAATAGGCTTGTTTCTCAGAAAGACTGGGGGTGTCTTACAGTCTGCTGTCTGTACAGTGTCCTGGGGATGGTAGTCTGCCAAGAATGGTCTGAGTGTTAGAGTCCCATGTAACTCAGGAATGGAAGCAACCCTGGACTACTGAGCCCAGCAATCAAGGGGTGTCCCATTGCCGGCAGTCACAAAAACCAAGGCACCAGATGTGTGTAAAAGCTCCACTCCAGGAAATGCTGGTGCTCTGAAGCATGGCAGAGGGAGAGCATGAAGCTGGTGCTTGCCAGTTGGAGGGTAAAAATGGCACCCGCCAGCTTTACAAGGCAGACAGAGAGTGCAGAGTACCCTGGCAGGCCCCTGCCCCTCCAGCTGAAGCTTTAAGTTTTATATGAAAGAGATTCATTTGCTAAAGTCGGGATGCTTTTCTAATGGCTGCTTCTATGCTGCACCCTGGGGCAAGTGAGTCTGTACACAAGCCCATTGAGCCATTTCTCAGTTCACAGCAGCTCTTTATGTCATGATTTTCAAAGCCAGATGTGTTGGGGGCTCATCTCTCAGTTGTAGGACTTAAAAGCTGGGGTGCCTGATACAGGGTATAACCTGCTGCTCTTCAGAGAGAAGCTCCATGTTTGTGAGTCACATCGTAATTCAACGTAATTGTGGGTTGCCTTGCTGGGGTAGGATTTATAATGAGATTTTGTCCCAGCCCCTCCTACCCACTTCCATTGGCCTTTTTCTTGTTTCCCTGATGTGAAGAAGTCACTCAGCTAGTTTTCAGGTCTTTCTCAGAGGGAACAAAGTGTTCCATATGTAGCTGTAGATTTGGTGTGTTCACGGGAAGGGGTGAGTTCAAGATCTTCCTACATTGCCCTATTGAGCCACCTCTTAGATGTAAAACCAGACATAAAACTGGGGCACCATCCACATGTAAAAACTTCCCTTGGGGAGATACCCTTTGTGGAGTGTGGCAAAGGGAGAGTGTGGAGCTAAGCATCCACCAGCTGGAACAAGGCAGAAGGAAAGTGCAAAGATGGCACCCCCAGTCTCTGGGTCCAGAGAGCACCCCAGCAGTCCCTTGAATGTTTGTCTAACCAGACGCCCACCCCTCGGGCTGATGCTCCAAGACAAGCAAATGAGTCTCTCCCAAAGTCCAGGTACCCCTCAATTAACTGCTTCCGTGTTGGGCCCTGGGGTGACTCCCAAGTATGCAAGTCCTTTAAGAACCATTTCTCAGATCACTATAGCCTTGTGGGTCCCGTGGACGTGAACTCCGTTGGTTTTCAAAGGTAGATATCTTGGAGAGTCGTCTCATAGGTGCACATTGTTAAAAGCTGGGGGTGCCTGATGTGGGTGGGGCTCAAACCCTTCACTCCTTAAGGAGAAGCTACAGCTTTTGAGTTCCCTCCTGCCCATGGGTTGCCACACTGGGGGTAAGGTTTATGAGGAGTTTATGTCCCAGCCTCTCCTACCTGCTTCAAAGTGGGCCTTAGTTCAGCACCCCATATGTGGGAGGAGAGTTCAGGATCCTCTTGCATCACCATCTTTAAAGCTGTTTATTTTTTTTTAAAAAGCTGGTGGTAAAACTCTTTCACATTTCAGGTCATTTAAAAGAAAAAAAAAACAAGGACAGCTGTCTTCTAAACATTTAGTTTGCATAACATTAACACCTCCCCACTCCAAAAAACAGTAAGGTTTATCTTTTGAAAAAGGGAAAACCAGTAAATCAGACTTTTTGCCTTGAAAAGTTTCATCATAGATGAAATACTAAAGCAAGGCTTCTAAGTAATATGACACTGAGTGGCAAAGCAAGATACAGCATTGTACATCCTTGCCAGGTGCCTTTTGTTTCCCAAATAAAATGCCTTTCCTGCGGGGAGGAAGCCACTAAAGTAAAAAGAGAAAACCAGAGCTGCCATTGGGTTGGGATGGAGGGAGGAAGGGGACAAAGGAAAGGAGAGAAAGAAACAGGAAAGGGGGAGAGGGAGGGAGGGTGGGAGGGAGAAAACAGGGTGTACTGGTTCGTTCAGTGGAGACTGAAGAGCAGCTTAGTCTAGATCTTCAGATCACTGCAACATATGGAAATATACGTGATTTTTCTAATTCTTAACTTTGGAGATTTCAATAAGGTTTGATCTATCACTTTTTCAGGCATCAATAAATTTACAAAAAAGCTTCGGAGTCCATATGCAATTGATAACAATGAACTACTTGACTTCCTTTCCAGAGTCCCTTCAGATGTACAACTGGTATGTAGGTTTCACTATCACTGCTCTTTACTGTAGGATGGCATTGGGTTTTCACTTTTCATCCTTTTAATTTCAAAGGTTTTAGAACTTAAAAAGGCCTGTAGCAGATTTTGCCTTTCAGGAATTTAGCCCACTTGGGATATTACCCAAGAAGAACTTTTATAAAGCATGGGGAATGGAGAACAAGAGAGGGTTGCATCAAGAACCTACCGGGGCTCATAGGGGCAATTTTCCTCCAAGGAAGGTTCACCTGGTTTGTGAAGGGAAGTCACCATTACCTGAAGGGAGGAAACAGGAATATAGATGCTGAAAGCAAGATGTGCCAGTGAACATTTGAAAAACACTTCTTTGCATAATTTACAGGAATTAAGTGAGTTTTAAAAATGCATATTTTGGAGACCAGTGGGGGGAAAGGGGTGGAGAGTAACTGCTTTTTCAAGACTGGGGCACATCTCAATCCTTTAAAATTCTTTGAGGTTAACTCATGCCCATTAATCATCAATTATTTTCAGAATAAATGAGAAATGTTTTAATCAAAATCTTGACACTATGTTGCAGCAATACCTTTCTTTCTTTGTTTCAGTTGAGTTTTCGATTTGGTATCCAACAACGAGAGTGGGCTGGAGGGAGATTAAGCCTAAATTAAACAGTAAATTGCAAAGAACCGTTATCCACCCTTTCAAAATTAAGATAAAGATGGTTTTGCTTTTAATGTAATGTGTCACTGACAGTGAAGAGGCAGCCTGTTATCAAAGTTCACAACAGCGCTCTCATGTAATTTCTGGCAGGATTTCCTTTATGATTCTTGCTCTATCATTCTATTGTTTTCTGCATCCCAGCTGCAGATCTCATAGACCTTCCAGGGTGAGCACTCTTCCCACCCCGGTCTCCAAGCATAGTCTGTCATTCCTTTGCTTTTCCTTCCTTTGCCAGAAAGTGACCACCTGACCAGACTTTCTCTGAACTCTGTTTAAACAGGTGCAATACCAAGAACTGAAACCAGATACTTCTCATAGCCCATGTAAAAGGAAGAAAAACAATCTTGGCTAGCCAGCCCCCAGCACTGAGGAGACCAGCATCTGTTTGGGAAGATAAAAGAAAAAGCCTTCAGCCTCTGCAGCATTTCCTTTCTTCCTGCTTTTTATTTATTTTGCCTTTTTATCATGATCGAGAGAATTTGTAAATAGTGTACAAGTGTACCTCATGTCTTTGAAAATATACTTCCGTTGTACAGACTCAACTTGATAAAGGTTTAGCTGTTGCTGTGTGAAAGCCTTGTTGGCTGTGGATAATAACACACTGGAACAACAAATAGAAGAATGGTAATGTTGGGAGATAGATATACACTTCTCTAATTACAAGTGGAAGCACCAGAATATTGCATTAAATGCTCAGCTGTGCCCTGATTAAATCTACATAAAACATAAATGTCATTTTGATTTTTAAAGTTTTTTTTTATGTGACTTTTTTATCTGAAAAGTAATCCATTACAATTTTCTATGTTTTATACATTTCAAAAGGGAAGGGGGGAATCCCAAAATCTGAATTATGGAACAGATGCATTTCAATTTAACTTAGATTCTGACTTCAGATCCTGAATTTCATTCCTGTGCAAATTACTGAGATATGACTCAGCTTATTTTAAGCTAATGAGTGAAGGTACATTCACTGTCAAGATAATCTTCCACACTCTACAAAGAAACCTTCCAAACCTTCTATCATTCCATCTAAAACCTTAAAATCTCTACAGGATTACACATAAATACTGCCAGGTTTATAAATGATTGCCTATCTGAATTTTTATACCTACCACTACTTTAATTTGTACCGAGTTAGCAAGTTAGCAACCCAGTTCAGTTGTCAAAAATACTAGCAACCTAAATCCGTGATGCTTTTGGTGTCTCTGTGCCTCTAAAAATATTTAATACTTGTGTTATCACACACACAAAAAGTATCTGCTTTCTCATAGATTACTGAAATGCTTTAATGCATAGTATGATTTTTGTTAGTGTGAATTTTAATGTAAAGAATGCTAGTGTGCTAAGTGATATGCCAGTGTTTCATTATATTCATTTATAGAAAAACTAATCATTCTTGATAATATGAATGCATGAAACCTATTTTGTAAAAAACAAAAACAAAAAAACAAAAAAAAACTGCTTATGGGGAGGGGGGAGTTTGCCTTTAAAAAAATGTTTCACTACTTTCCATAGAATCTATACTTAAAAATTGCATTCCCAAAACTTAACTTATGGTAGTTTTTGTACCTAGCTCCCTGATAAATGAAGGGAATATACCTCTGGAGAGAGAAATAATTTGGTGAGAACGTTTTACTTCCTTGAGTGGGTAGGGGATTAAGCTTGGCTAAAAATGCTGTAGAAAATGTTTTGCACTACTTATATTAATAGACTGGGATAGGGTGAAGGGGGTGGGTGGGTTATGATGGAAAAACATAGAAAAGCCAGAAGCCAGAAATATATATTTCACTCTAAAGGAAGATTCTTTAAAAATAAATTTAATCTCATCAAAGCTAATTTTTAAAGTATTTTTATTTTAAAGCGACGTTGTTAAATACTATTTCTTATGATAGAACTATTTTGATCTGTTTATACACTATGCTTGAAAGAGAATGTCAATTAAATTCCCTTTCTACAGAAAGGCTTTGACCTCAATATGCTCTATTTAGCTCACCGTGTTTATAATAACATGCTCCTATCCGCATACCATCACTGTTTGTTGCTTAGACATAATACTCCATGAAGCTGATGTTACCACAGAAAGTTTATTGATGGGATAATTTGTTTGAAATACCTTTTGATTATACCTTGTGTGAGATTTATGTTCCGTGCTGACAGTGTCTACTCAAATGTCTACAAGCCTGATATTGTACAACTTCAGATGTACCTGGTGCAGAGTAACCGTTAACAGATGCCTAATTTTTGTTTCATTCTACCAACTTTCAGATTTTAAATTCAATGGTAATGTTGACTATACATTCACTGCATTAAATAAAAAAATCTTTTTTAAGTATAATCAGTACTCCTTTCTTTTTCTTTGCCTTTGTTTTTTTTTGTGGTTGAGAGAGGAGTGCTGGAGGACTGTTTGCATATTCTTATAAATGACACTTAGAGAAACTGGACAAATAAAGGCTTCTCTGAAACCTTGACTATTGCATGAAACTCACTACCTTCGAAGGAGTGAGCATGCAATGAAGTTGATAGAAGAGTACAAAATATCTTGAGGCATGAAATGATATTCAGAGGAATCTTCACTGCTTTCAAAAGTACTATATTCACAGGCTGAAAAGAAGAAACTGTGTCTAATAAAATTTTAACTATTTCTTTCCCCTTCTCACACAGGTACAGTTTTGCCTTTTGAAGGCTGTTTAACTTTAGTTTTGAAAGATTTTCCATGTAATTATTTTAAGATATCTTTAAGAGATTAAATGTCACTCCAAATAGGTGTGAGGCTTCTAAATCCGGTAATCGTGTCAACTATTAAATATATTCTTCAGTGTCTTTTAGTAGTAAATTCCCTAAAGGTCAGTCACATGATATTGCTATTAATTGTAATTCCTAAGAAATGCGTATTTTAAACTTTTTATTCATTTAGAAAAAGAACATAATACTTGCTCATTTTGGTACTGTTCACAGATTCAAACTGACAGATGCTATAGGGATTCCAAATTACATTTGAATCATACTATACACTAGGATAATCTGAATTGAACGGTTTTTTTAAAAAAGATTTTAAGTGATCTCCATACCCAAAGTGGGGCTCGAACTCAACCCTGAGATCGAGAGTCTCATGTTCCACTGAATGAGCCAGCCAAACTGAAAGATTTTTTTAAATGACTTTGCTTTGTGATACATTTATTGAATATCTCTATTATATGACTTGCCCTGTAACAGGCAATGATCCAACCAATGACAGTATATTAAAATCAAATCTGGAGCTATAGTAAGAACAAAATTTAATTGATAGGTTTCTGAGAGTATCTTTTATAGAATTTTATTCTATATATATTTTTTCTGAGTAGCCCAATTTATTAAACTTATTGAATTTATAATTTAAAATCTTTTTTTAATTTAAATTCAATTAGCCTGCATATAGTATATCATTAGTTTTTGGTGTAGTGTTCATTGATTCATTAGTTGCGTATAACACCCAGTGCTCATCACCTCATGTGCCCTCTTTAATGCCTATCACCCGGTTACCCCATCCCCCCACCCACCTCCCCTTCTGCAACCCTGTTTGTTTCCCAGAGTCAAGAGTAGTCTCTCATGGTTTGTCTCCCTCTCTGATTTCTTCCCAGTTTTCCCTCCCTCCCCCTATGATCCTCTGAACTATTTCTTAAGAATTTTATTCTACATTTAAGAGAGAAAAAAAATTCAGTAGTAATCTCTCTTCTTCAGGGACGCTGGGAACTTTTTTCCCCCATTTTGATCTTAATATCCAAATGTCTGTAATGCTGTAAGTGGCGTAATTTTGTATTAACCAGTCTTATTCAGAGGCTTTAATTTCAGTTCATATGCTTGTTAAATGTACCTCAATATCTCTGAGTTTTGTACTCAGCATTAAAAACAAATAAAAAAATGTATCACTAGGCCATTGATGTTCCAGAAATACAAGTAAAGAGATCCACTGTTATACTTCTTGCAAAAGCTTCGGGTATTATTAAAGGAATGGTTATTTAAATTCTGGGGCTTTAAATGTCAAGTGTGAGTAGGTGTATGTGTACAGATGCCAATTCATTTGTTTGATTAGAGTATCTAGAATTAGCCTTTTCTAATTGTTCAGTCAAGTATGAATTAAAACCACATAAAAAATGTAATGAATACTTACAATAGTGTCATTCCTTGCAGTTATACTTCTCTTCCCCGGGATGACTGGTGTAACTCACTGAAAGAAAAAACACAAAACCTTCTTTTTTGGGGTGAAAATGTTGTCTTATGCCTTAGTTTTCTGCATTTGTACAGTGGCAGTCACATCGTAGAAGCTGTTATCAGCTGAATCTTTGAGATTTAAGAAACACCAAACAAAATATCTCATTATGTAAGAATACTATGCAAAAAACCCCAAAAACATTAAATGTCCAAAGTGGTCACCTGCTGCAGAAGCTACTACCACCATGAAAGGTTTGCTGGAAGGTAATGATTGTGTATGCACTCTCCCAAGGGGATTTGTGCTAAGAACCAAAAAAAGTGTAACAAGTACACCAAAGGTCTCAAATGAGTTTTAATTTATTGAGATCTTCCTTTCTTCATATTCTAAGAACAAAGAAATGGTCCCTCAAATGCACAAGCTATATTTTTGTAGACAGGTTTTTTTTTTTTTTTATATGACGGTTGTATCTCCACATGTTACTGAACAATTATAAAACTCCATTTAAAAAAAAGTAATGGCAATGCTGTTTTGCTCTAGGCAATTAATAGCATTACTATATTAAGCTGAAAGCTTTATCTGTATTAAGAACAGAAATAGGTAAGCAGCTATGCCGAAGTTTTTTCAGTCTGTAGCAAAAGTAAACATGCAACATAATTCTCCCCTGCTGCAGATTTTTCAGTGTTTCTTCAAGAGAAAAGGAGCGACCAACCTGAGCCAGTGAAGGAACCTGCAAACCACATCTTCTCAGGAGGAATGCATTAGGGATTCTAAGACCTGGCTTGTTGCTGCTACTATGGCAAGATGGTAGGCCAGGCTCAGTCCCACTTCCTATCAAAGACAAGCTTCACGATGGCATGAGGCAACTTGAGGCAACATTTTATTTTGCTAGAATCCAAATAGTAAGAAGTTTAGGGAAAATGCTAACTGCAGAGAGAAAGGTGCACACCTGGCCCCAACCATCTTAGGTGGCTCTTGATTACAGGAGACCCACCTGGGACAACAGTCAACAGTAATTACAGAGGCAGCTGGACTACAGAAGGGAGCTGAGAGGAAGGAAGAACCATTGCTTGTCCCAAGTTCACATATCTTCTAATAAAGCCATCCAGAGAACTGGAAACCTTACAACTCAACTCGACATCACTCCCTCAAAACATCCCTCCTTTGTACAGCACTGATCATGACAATTATAAGCCCAAATCCGTGTGTAACCTGTGATACTGAAATCATGGAAAATAATTTATTGGTGTCAAGAACTAATAAACTTAAAAAAAACTGATCAAGACCGAAGTGTCTATTTCCTATTATACAGAGAGGGATAACATTTGTGTTTTTGTTGACTTTGTTGTGTAACACGGGAGGTAACTAACCCAAGTTCTGACCCAATCTTACATGATGGTATTCTTACCCCTTACCTTTGATCTGGAACTCTTACACAGCAGATTCTGTTAACACAGAGAACTAGCAAACTTCCAGCAGGGTCTTTGAAGCACAGAGGAACCCACTGGGAAAAGTCAAATACTTCCTATGTTTGAAAAACTAGTTTTAAAATAGATCAATGTGGTGGTCCGTTTTATGTTTGAAGTTGAACATTAAAAATTTCCCTGTAGGATTAAAAAAAATGCATTTTCAGTTATAATACAGAAAACCTTTTTTGGGGGGGGTGATCATCACAAAACACCTGGCACTTGATAACCAAGAGTCAGGCACAATAACTCTTGCGGGGTGGGATAGCAGGTATATACCATTCTTGTGGCATTATGATGTTAATGCAGAGAACACAGAAGTACTTGATAACCCATGATCTCCCATGACTGTGACAACACCCTTGACAAGCAGGTGAGAAATCTCCCCACCAAAACACATTAATGTGATATTCCCCAGTGCACTGTAATTACATTATTGGTATCCAATGAGTTTATATAAAATCATTGTTAAAATATTCTATTTTGAATTGTACTACTTAAAACAGTACCTTACACGAAACCATTTGCTTGGCCTTCACAGAAGAGGTGCAAAGTAATATGCTCTGGAGAACAGTGGCAAGACACTTTCACTCAGAGTTCTCTCAGTGAAGAGCTGGCTACCTGTATCTGCATTAGTGTTGTAAATAATACAATCAATAGTAAAAAGTGAATTTTTTTCCAGGTCTGTGATGATATAAGAAAAAAAATTCTCAGTAACACAGTAGTAACTTCCCTTCAAATAATAGACAAATGTAGCCTTCATTTAATCTGAGTGTTCTCCCTGCTTTTTGGTGTCTGCAAAGACAGGCTAAAACACATCCAGCAGGGTCTTTGAAGCACAGAGGAACCCACTGGGAAAAGTCAAATACTTCCTATGTTTGAAAAACTAGTATTTTACTTAAAATGCATATTTTAATTTTACTGAGTATTACTTATTGCTCTGTAATTTCATCTCTATGTAGTAAAAAAAGAAACAATGCAAAACAGAAATGCATCTTTGGGATGAAGTCAGATACCAAAGATACATATTCGTTAAAACAAAAACAAAAAACTATTATAAATCAGACCATTCTGGTCATTAGAAAAATTTATCAG